ACTATAGGTGCATTGTTTTATTTATTTATGTATTTATTTATTGGGAATGTGATTTAGTCAAGAATAGAATAGCGGTAGTATAATACAAACAAATATTTAAAATAAAATAAACTAACTAAAGATTATAACTAGTATATTCTATTATTATTAAACATACGATATATTTAGATATGTTAAGATAAAGAATAATTGTTTTAACCTGACAACCCTTGTAAACTAAATTTCAAGCAGTTGCATTGTCTTGTGCCTCATCCAGTCACAGACAATGAACTACTTACGTTTGAGTGCAGTACTGTATTTTCTTTATCTCATATAGCATTGTGTAAGTACTTCAAAAGTCAGGTTATTGCGTGATTTAATATTTTATCTTCACGGAAATTGTGTTATAATCTTTACCGACTTCTCCGGTCTTGAATAATAATTATGATTTATCTAGAATAATAAGTGGTAGGTATAATAACTATAAAAGATTACCAACAATTCAAAATTACAATAAATCGTCTATTCGATAAACACATTTAATCATAAAGGCAGGATATCAAAATAATTAAGAAATTAGTTCTCTTCAAAGTAAGTTAGAAAACGTACAATAATAAACAAACATCTAGTAATCGGTGGGGATTTCTTACAATTACAGTAATTTATATATAACACATATAGCTCATATTATGGAAACACTACAGCCAGTGTAAAATGAATCTCGTCACAACATATTCGTGTAAGTCTACTGTATATTGATTATTAATTAGAAAACGCACATCGTTAATTCTAATCGTATAGGCCTACCGATAAGATGTAGACACAGGAATAAATAGAAAACATGAATATGAATATTCGACATCCTGTTGCGAGCCCTTTAAATAAACATTTCAGTGGAATTGACTGGCGTTGGAGTTTGTGTAACACTTGCGTAGGTAGTTATCGTTAAATTCTATAATCAGTATTTTTGCTGAAGTGCAAAAATGCGTCGTTGATGAATATTGCTTCAGTATCCCTCTATTATATATAATAATATATAGGCATAGATAGGCACAGTTGGCTTATAAATGAGGTATTGTGGGTGACCAATAATATTGGTTATAAAATGACTACTAACTATAAGTTGTTATGGTAATATGACAGTTATTATTGGATTGGTTGAATACTTATAACTTATAACATACCCCCGTTCTTATTTTAATCAATTGTCCCGTCAAAAATATGCAAAAAAAATTATGTAACACAATTATTTCCTCCAATACCTACTTGGGGATTTCTTTTCAGTATAATAATGTCAACACTAGGAGGCTTAACTCTTTCATTCCTTTAATAGGCAGCTGTAGTAGACAATAATTTAAATTAATCATAAATATTATATTTCCCAGCTGTACCTAATCATAGTATGGTGTCGTAATCGGAGACATTTTCTTGAATGTTGATGTAATGAATGAACGTAATAATACTTGCTTATAAATATACGGCTGACTCGAATTGTAATGTTGCAGAGTCAAGAATAATAATTCACTCAAATTAATTAGAACTGTTAAGGATATTCTACATACGTGAAGTCATAGTTACTAAACAATTTAATACTGTTCCTCTTTAAGAAAACCCTCTGAATCAAGACAGGATTCAAGGTCATACCCATAATGGGGTCAGCAGACTGATATTGTATCTGTCAGGCGGTACCTGGTCTTCTGCCAGAAGTCGCGGTTTAGGAGTGCCCTATGGAGTTGATCGCATATCTAGCACATGTATGTCTGTAAAGGCTAAGGCTATTAGTATAGAAATAGTTAAAAGAGAAAACTAGTGTAGTAGGAAACTACAATACAAATTATAGCTAAGAAATATGAGATATAAAACCACCAAGTTGTTTTGACTGGACTATTGGTATTAAAAATAAATACGTTGTATTATTTATATCAGCCTAACTTGAACCTCATTTTAAGTAGAACTAAATCCATTATGATACCCAAATTTATCCTATAACAAGCGAATATGACACGCGATGAATGTCCACCCTTCATTGACGTCAGTACTTGCCTACATCTGAAGTTATTTTTGGTAAATAGGCTAACGAAGTAGTAGGATATTGATTTACTTTGGTAGGTCATATTTTGATGGCAGTATAATAACACCTTTGTATTCATTATACTGCGCATTATAGCATAGCGCGGGTAGCGAGTGACAGGTATTGAAATCACTAAAACGTAGGTCACTTACGAAGGTCTTATCAGAGAGAGTTTGTACAAGGTAGTCTGCGTGGATTACCTTTGTCCTAACCATTGCTGTTTGGTTTGAAGTTATTAGAATAGCCTTTAGAAATCTTAGTCAAAGTTAGATATGGTAAAACTGTTATTATCTATTTTAATGTATGCTGAGTTTGCAACGTTCTTTGACAGTTGTAAATGCGAGAAAATTTGTAGGCAAATGCTATTGTTAAATGGTTTACACTTCACTTTAGTGACAACAGTAGTGTATATTATGTATGTACACTACTGTTGTACTACTCAAAAATTAAAACTTTTAATCCGGTACAATTGGTAACAACGTCGTCATATATTTGGCGTTCCGAAGTATTGCTACTCAGTATTTGTATCTAATACGTATTCTGAGGTATTACATAAAGAAACCTCTACCAAGCTTTTTTCAACACACTTTAAGAAGGAAACAATTGTCATTTGGCTGTTTTTTATAGATAGGTTGGGTATGTTAAGCAAATAGCAAATAGTTATATAATTTTACACCGATATCAACATTAATCTTTCTTCATTTTATAACATATATACATATACCATCTAAAATTATACCTACTATTATAGTATTTATAATGTTTCGTTTCTTTTTAAAATTTAATAATTAAAATATATTTTTTTTTATTATTATACATGCATGCATAATTATTTGTTTGCTATAGTAGACACTAGTATTAGTTAGTATATGCTTATTTAGTCACAACAATAATTAAAAAGAAATGAACAAACACGTGCCACGACCTCCAATATATACATATCTACCTACATACCGCATAGTTACATTTACCGATAACTATATAACTCAACATATAGCTATATCTACGACCTGCAAGTATGTATAGTACGACTGTCCATTCATAAGAAGCGGTTCATTCATGCCGGCTCGAGGACGTGAATGGGAGCGAGCGAGACAGACAACGTTAAGGTTGTTGTACACTGACAATGGAATCTTTGAATTGAAATCCTGTTCTACGAAATACCTATTGAATGGCGTTGTTTTAAAACAATTGTTAAGCTGGTTTTGTTTCGTCGAGTAGCTATTATGGGGAAGAGGGGTGGCTATTCCGACACTAGTTGCACTCGAGATTGTTATTGGATTATCTAATCCTTTGTATTCAGGTTCATTATTGAAAGTTAAAAAGGATTTGAAAGCATAATTTTATGATAGGCTAAACGAATAAAAAAGGTTCCCACAACCCTTTTTGTTTTTTATTCATTACGCAAGAATTGTGGTATCGTTAGTAGATATTATGAAACAGAAAGGGGAAATTCAATACGAGTGCAATAGCGCTGAGAGATTTCTGGATAGTGAAGATGGTTTTAAAACGTGTTACTTGGTTTATGTCGACCTTTTCACGAGAAAAATTGTAAAGGAAATTTTGTAACTGTGAAATATAAAATTATAATTACTGTAGTTGTATGTTAACATATTATTATAACTATATAATGTAATAGAAAATATTTGGATAAGAATTCATTCCTATTTTCTTTAACTTATCGACCCCATATGATAACAAAAATGTTCATGGTAACCATTATTCTTCAATAAGAAAAGAAACATATATAAATTAATAAAGAACATATGAATTTTAGTGTAGTTTCATGACTTGTTACAACAAGATAACATGACATAAATATTTGAGGTCAATTGCAAATAAAATAGTTTTTACATACATAACTGAGGCTAATAACATAAGCAAATTCAAAGATGTTCGCAAAGTAGATGTATCTCTTATGTATAATACTGTTAACATCTTCTAATTATAATACATGTGTATTGCAAAGCCGAAAGTTTTGTTCGTAACGACTGTTTCACAACGAAGATTTTTTTCATTAATGACTTTCTGAATAAAAAAATACACCGAAAAAAAAAACGAATTTTCAATACATGGATAAGTATTTTGTAAATAATATTCATTACATAAAAGCTTACTGTGAATGTGGAGGCGTCTTTATATCAGAGCAACAAGATTGTGTAAAAAAACATCGCCGGTAGGAAGTCAACTGTACCGCGACTGAAATATTTTGATCACCGTAAGACGTTCAAAATATATAAGCTTACGTAATAGCTGATAATTTGCCCATTGCTTTAGTTTCAATTTAGAAACATTTCGTTTTTATTTTAAACACGTTCTAACTGGTGATATTTTAATAACATTAAATGATATCTAAATTAAAACAGATATAACGAATACACTAGGCATGGAGGCTATTTGATACAGCAAAAGAAGCGGGATTGAAGCTAGTGGCAATGTATTTATTACACTACAAAAGATATTGCAATAAGCTCATAGTATTTTAAAATAAATAGATATAAGACGAACTGCTTTCAGCATCAGGTATAAACTATTCGTAAAAACATGTATTTACTACTTTTATATATAAATGGTATATGTATTATTTCTTGATTAAGTATAATTTACACTTTTTAAGTAGGAGGCGCACGTAGTGAGGTTTCCTTGTTTCATAAGTTGTATATATTATTTATCATGTCACAAACTTTGACTCTAGATATATAATTGTTATATAACATCTTAATTTCGTATACTTTCTATACATTATTGGATATATATCTCAATAATAAGACTATTCTAATTAATTCTAACATGAGTATATAATAAAAAATATATGTTTACAAGCTTTTTTATATTATTCATTAAAAGCCTTAAAAGTATCAAGACTGTACAATCGTAGTCGGAGGTGGTTATACCAAGCGTAGGCCACTTCGTACCTGACTCGACGCGCCCGTTGCCAGTCCAAGCCCGACCCGCCGTGACGACACGCGACTGAATCGCACGACAAACACGACAAATCGACCGGCGACTTGTCGAGTGAAGTGTTAAACATGCAAGTGTTTGCGCCTTTGATCTTCGCGTGGCTGATAGCTGGGGTTCGTGCCGTCATAAGAACCCCATTAGAAGCTTTTAGACCTTCAGGAGAGATACATTTAAGGAGACCGGACAAACTGCCTTTCCTTCCACACAGGCGGACCACGCTCCCTCCTAAGAGTGGTCTCAAGATTTTATATCAGGCTGGGGTAAGTTTCAAAGATCAATATCTTCTCTTTGTTTGTCAGTAAAAAAAGTAAACTTTATTATATTACAAGTTAGAATCTGGTTGGTTGTTATCTATGTTCGATGCTGACGTAGCTAAAATGTATATTATTTATATACATATAATATCTACACTTGATATCCGTTCGCAAGATCAACAACAAACTAAAGAAATGAATTTCTAAAAAGTTAATTTGATAGGTCTATAACAATCTACCTTCAATTATGTGTAGCTATGTGTAGTTTGTGTTTTTGATATGAATTTTATTTATAAAATAAAATAATGATACACTTAGGCACTTACAGTAATAAGTACGTTAAAAAATCATGAACATCATAAAAATATTTTAAAAATTAATGCTAGGGTAAATAATTTCCGTCTTGACTATTAACGTACGATAATACATAGCTTAAGTTACTATGTATAGAAAACTGAAACAGTTACGAATTTTTGTAAACTTAAAGACGCCACACTTTCAAAACAAAAATAGTAATATTATGATAAAAATAAAATATTTATAATATTTTGTTTTTATAATACAAATTGCTATTGTATTTCAAGTTTTCAACATTTCAAGATGCGTAAAAATAACAGTACTTTCTCGAAGTTTTCTTCCAGTCTGATTTTTTACTTCGCGTAAGTGATGTTCGATTCTCGGTTGGGGCAATTTGTGAAATCAACTTTTTTCTGCGTTTGAATTCTCTGGACTCAGATTGCATTGAATTCTCATAAGGCAGGATATACTAATATGAGAATCATGTAATTGGTGTGACTATAATTTACTATTGTCATTGCTGTATTATCCACAACAACTGAGATACACTAATTTGGTTATTTAGAATTTTATTCTTACTATAATTTCAATAGAAACAAACTTAATGAATTTTAGAATTTTTTGTAATGACATATTTTAATAAAACGCGCAAATCTCCTTAAATATAAAAGTTCATATGAGTTAATTAGCTTATTTGAGCTGTTGAACTTTTGAGAGTTTACTTTAGAGCCATTTTCCTTCTTTAAAAATGATAAATGAAGTATATTTTATATGGTTATGTATATACAAAAAATCAAAACTAGGTTTTTATTTTATAAGAAAAGAAACTAAAGTTTAATTGATAATTTCAATTTTCTTTAATGGGAAGTTACTAGACTAATCATAATCTTAACTTTCAAGGAAACGTACAATAATAGTCTTAACATAATACAAATCGATATACGAGTATGTTAATTATACTGCATATAGTACAAACATAGTATGTATTTATACCTACGTTTGTATAGTATACACGTGTTTATGACTCATCATCATAGCGGAGAATCTACACCTATCTGCTTAATAGTTTCCACGAAGGTTACGCCCAATAATAATTAGTCCAATCCACTATAAAAACCCGTTTTTATTGCTTAGACATTTCTTATGACTAATAATTCCGCGAAACACCATATAAACATAGCGGGAAACAAAATTAATGTGACAAAAAAATCATTATTACCATACCAATATCATTTAATAATGGAATTATAAATTTCCAGAACAACAAATGCATGTTATTCGTGACTATATAAAAATATAAAAGTTTTCCGGCTGAATAATCAAAAACAAATAAGTTCCGGATGTCAATTCTTGTTCGTCATATTTTAAAAACAAGTATAATCACTATTATGGCTAATTTCGAAGTCAATTCAAGAAGATAATCACTGTAAGGATAGGTTGGTAATAACGGCATCGGATAATAGTTTTAAAAGAGTGGTGTGAATATTGAAAAATAGACTTTATATTATTGAGGAATAAGTTAAGTTTTGTGTTTGTGAGTGCATTTTTAAAAGCGGAATTACAAAATGTGTGCGTGGCGCGGATGCGTGGGCGCACGCGTAACACCGGTGGCGGCAGGTGTTCATTCACTCATTCTTATCTTGACAGCTTCGATGACTTACGGCCGAAGCCCGTCCGTGTGTGCTATTTGGTTAAAAAAGCTTTTTTTATGTCACTGGCTTTAAGCCCATTCGTAACGGTAATGTCTTTCCGATCTTTCGTCTTTAAGGAATGGAATTCGGAGTTATCTTGCCGTTTGTAAGTATTAACTTTTATATCAGAACTTAAATCTCGATAGGGACTTTAGGTTTTTTATACTTATGTAACGATTATTGTTTTCCTGTTTATGATTTAAAACCATGGATGAATTTAGTGATTTTGCTATTCATATGGTTAGGATATAAATTATTAGTTGTTACCCGCGGCTTGGCCTGCTTTTTTAGGCAACAAAATAGTCTATATCCATCCTGATAATATAATCTATCTTTATGTCAAAATTTTTTAATATCAGTTCAGGCGTTTAATCGTAAATAAGTAGTAAAAAGATTCTTACATTTTTCACTTCGCATTAGATAAAGTTAATCTATATGACAATTAATATATATATACATGATGGCAAAAACAGAATAATACATAATCTGTAGTTTTAGATATAAGATATGTGAAAGAATACTCGGCATAGAACATTGAACACCTATTGTCCGGTATACTGGACTGGTGTGTAAGTCATACAATACCCATTCAGTAACCAACATTGTGATACTAGGTACTAGGTGATGTATGACTAATTAAAAATTTTAGAAATACAATTTTAAAAATATCGACTTGGATTTATCTACTATCTTTGGGAATTTATTGTCACATATATATTTATTACGAAATTTGAGCGCGTTATATAATAAATAAACAACAAAGTACTTTAAGATTTACTAACAAAAGTATAACAATTGTTGAACTAACAATAGTCTATCGTTTAGATACTAAACTGTCGGCATTTTTGGCAATAATGAAGCATGGAACTGTGGCGGTCGCAGCGGGGGTTATGGCGGTAAATAAAACCAGAGTTGAATGCTCTCAACATTAAAATAATGACGGGAGGGTGCTAGCCCTTGATCTAGCCGACGAGATAACTCTAAAATTTGGCTCCGATTGAGAATGATAACTTGAGAACTTTAATCAATAGAATAGTATCTGTGAATTATTTTAATAACGTATTTCTTTAAGAACATTAATATTGATATTAAAATTTTGCTCAGTATCGACTATTATTGCTATAAACTACTATTAAGTGATTGATATAGTACTACCAGTGCCCGCGGTTTCACCCGCGTGAAATTTATAGCCTATATGTTATTCTGATGCATAAGCTATATTACTGTAAAGTTTCATCAGAATCAAACATCCATACTTACAAACCTTCGCATTTATAATATTACATATATATTATTAAGATTAAGATAAGATTATATGAAAGTGATGCTTATTATACTTTTATATATTTTGTTCTGTTTAGTTTATTCTCTGGCCTGATAGATTCTATACAAACGAATTATACATTTGTAAACCAACGTATGTATGTACGTACGTAAATATGATGTTAAAACTACACCTGCCAGTTTTAATCAATGTAAATAAACACTGTACCATTCACCAACCTACACCATCTATCTATCATTAACAATCTCGACTATCAGCCCCCAAAACCTATCGTATTACATACGGAAATGTCAATCCTATTTATGAATTCGTGAATAGAATAATGGATATGCAATTTATCTTTAACTATTGCAATTGTCTTTTGGGCAATTGACGATAATTTTAGTTTTATTGCACTTTAGCTAAACGACTGGACATTAATATATATCTACAGTACTGTAAAGATTTTAAAAGAACTATGTGTGTATTTACCGCGCACTAACGTACTTTCAAAAAGGGCAACAATTCTCTTCCCCAAGATTTATACGAGTATATCCGTTTTACTTTTTATTATTTCGGTTAATTTTCTACAATTTTCATAATTACAATACCAGTATACGGAATGTGATACGTATTTGAAAGTATAGCCTCTTACACATGAATCAATAGTAGGTATAGATTTATATGTTAATTATTTTTTATACTAAGCATTTTATTAATAGTATCCACTGTGTTCTCACTGTTATTTCTACCTTATCAGAGAGATCTCCTATAACATCTGAACGAGGTGGAAAAAATGCGAAAGTGTGGTGTGTGAATTGATGTAAATTATTTTCTAGTCTTTGTGATCAACTAAATTTAATTTAACTAACCAAAAACGTGTATTGCCATCGAAATTATGAGATATTTCAACCACTGATATTCTGTTAAGGGAGAATTTCCTTCCATCAATCTATTTTCATTCTCATTCGTAAAACAGGGAAAATAAAACTCAGAAAGTGCTAATCTGCTAAAATTGCCAGTCCACGTGTAACAACAACAAGCAAAGTTAAATTGTGTTATAATAAAATATGAAATTACGTGAAATACGATCTGAAAGCATTCAACCGAAAATAGCACGTAGGTAATTTATGTAGCTTGTGATTTGCCATAATTTTTTCATTAATCTTTCCACGACTAGCTCTATTTTCATAGTTTTATTATTAGCTTTTTCAATTGTTATTTTTAGGTTTTATACTGTAGTGATTTATGCAAGGATGATGTCAAAGTGAATATACTTACACGAAATTCTATAGTAACACTAACCACAACGTTTATTAATTTGAACTTGTACTTATTGAATTTGTATGGTACGTTATGGGAGCTTATAATAACTAAAGTCAGTCATATTTGAAGATATGTTGCTATATTTTTGGCGATCATCGAAATTTCTGCATAAATAAAAAAAACATTCTGTGCTACCACAGTGGTAGATATAATTTACAGCCGTTAATTTGTTTGTTTGTTATGCGTATTAAATTGTTATAATTCCGCATTATAAAACATTTCTAAGGAAAGGTAGGGACTTCGTCATTGACGATCATTTCTTATACAGTTTGTATCATACATACTAATGGTAGAGGAATAAAATAAAAAATACATTTGCTACATAGTACTTTGTCATATTACCGCCACGAGTAGATTTTCTTTCAAACGTAAATTACGGGAACATTATTTAAACTTGTAATCTGTGTCCTGTTTTCTTATTGTTTTTC